TCTTTCTTTCTTTCTTTCTTTCTTTCTTTCTTTCTTTCTTTCTTTCTTTCTTTCTGCCAAATGAAGAGATTACTGAAGCTGAATATTAATGTCCCGAAAAGGCAAGTGACACTCTTTCTTTCTTCCAGAGGTTACTACTAGGAAAAAGTTGCCCACAGAATGAAAGTCAGTTTTCAAGAATTCCTTATTAACTGTGTGCAGTGATGCACTACTGTAATTCCAGCTGCTCAGGCTTAATTAGGCAAGAGGAACACAAGGTCAAGGCCAGCCTGGACAGTTGAGCCAGACCTTCCAGTTGCTCCCAGAAGGAAGTAAGATAAAAAGCTAGTGGTGCAGCTTACTGATGGAGTGCTTACCAGCCGTGCACCACACCCTGGGTTCCATTCCCACTACCAGAAACAAGCAAGCAAGCAAAGCTCAGAGGATATTACCTTTCTTGTAATATCCAAGTAATCTGTTCAAGTACTGGGACCTGCTAGGTGTGCTGGTACATGCCTGTAATTCCAGCATTTAAGAGACTGAGGCAGGAAGATTGCTCCAAGTCCAAGGCCAGCCTGGGCTACACAGAGAGACCCTGTCTCAAAGCAAAAAACAAAAAGTAAAACAAAAACCAGGATCTGTGAAGGTTGGCTGGTGGTGTTTACTAGGGGCCTGTTCCTACAGCTGGGTATTCTCAAGGCTCCCTTATAGCTGATGAAGTGTTCAGTGCTGTGATTCTTTCCCAGCATGTACAGGGAAGGGTACTGGGAGAAGTGGGGAAGCTGGAGAGAGTTACAGCAATTTGGGTACCAAAGTAAGAGTGGCCACACCAGAGCTGTGTCAGTGGGAGCATTTCAGGGAGGAGGACTAAGGCTCCAGCATTTTCATTCAGTTCTGGACTCATGAACTGGAAAGCTTACCTGGGTGCAGGTGTAGAGCTGGTTTTCCAGGGACCTCAGTTTGCCCTTCAGTTTGTCTTCATTCAGCTGTCCCTGGAGCAGAGGGAGAAGGTAGTAAACAAGCCAGAGTGCTTCTGGAGAGGTGCTCCTCCTGCCAAGGCCCCACACAAGGTGGTACTGTGGGATGGAACTCTCAGGAGGAGGAGTGATGACACAGGACACTCGGGGAGGACAAGGATGAGCCAGATGGGCTCCCAGAGAACTCTTTTTTGCCTTCCAGTTCTCTATCAGATGGCTCAGCCTGTACCTGGTGTGGAAGGGCCTAGGGTCAAGCAAGCTTTCCTTATCCTCCCATGCCCTGGACACTACCCACTCCTGTCCCCTCAGTCCTGAACCTGGACCTTGACTGAAGTACAGGCCGGCAACGCTAGAGGAGAAAATGAGTGTTCTCTCTCTTGCTTCCTGCTAGAAGCTGAACTCCCCTCACCCTAAGGTTGTATGTTAAAGTTTAACCTCTGTTACCTCAGAATGTTACCATATTTGGACATCGAGTCTTTAAATAGATTAATTCCATTAAAATGAAGTCATTAAGATATAGCCTAGTCCAGCAAGACCAGAATTATTATTATTATTATTATTATTATTATTATTATTATTATTTGTATTTAGTACAGGGTCCTCAGTGTCTCACTACATAGATTGGACTCATAGTGATTCTCCAGATTTCAGCCTCCCACGCACTAGAACCACAGGTGCGCACCACCACGCGGAGTCTCAATCGCGGTCTCAGCAGGCCCTGGGGGCGGGGCCAGCGCGGTAGGCCCGAGGGCTCGAACCTCTGGCTCCAGTGTCTGCCTAAGCAGGCGCTTTAATCCACTGAGCTATTTGGCAGACCCTCAGACTCTTCTTTCTTTCTTTTTTTTTTTTTTGTTGTTGTTGTTTTTTTGGGGTTTTTTTTGTAGTTTGAGACAGGGTCTCAAAAATTCAGAATGAAGTTCGTACTGGCCTTAAACTTGCATCAGTCCTTCCTGCTCAGCCTCCCGAGGGCTGTGATCACAGGTGTGTGCCACCATGCACAGCTCAAGAATAGATAAATAGATAGGTAGATCTATATCGATATATAGATATATTGATGTATATTTTAATAGCAGCATAGCTTATTTGATGATACAGCAGATGAAGATTATCTCAAAGTTTTGAACACTAAATTTTACTCATGTGATAATTTGTTTCCTATCTAAGCTTTAAAAATACTCATTAGGAAAAAAAAATACTCATCAGGAATGCTGCAGTTGGGTATGTTCTAGAACTTGGGTATGTATTAGAAATCTTTTTATGGTAATACATTATATATTTAACTTTTCTGTAATCATGAGTCAAATTTTTTACGTACGTTTTTTATTCTGACAGACTATACCTCTTCCACAAGTAATGCACTTAGCAGTTTTTAATTTATGTACTCCTCTGTTCTTTTTGTTTTGTTTTCCTTTCTTTTGTTTTGATACAGGGTCTTGCTATGCAGCTTGAATTTACGGTGATCCCCCTGTCGCAGCCTCCCCAGTACTGGGATTATAGATGTGTGGAGCCACACCTGGTTTCTGGGCTGGCAGAAATTGAACCTGAGACCTTGCACTTGCCAGGCAGGTACTTAAACCACCAAGCTGTCTCCCCAGCCCACTCCATTGTTCTAATAAAAAACTGTACATCTTCCAGTATCCGCACTAAGTCCTCATAAAAGTACACATTTCTTTAAACCCGTTACTTTCTTTTGAATTTGCTTCATTTGTGGGCAGGTGTGGATATAGAAGTTGTAGAGCAGGCTGAAATCTCTATGGACAGGAATTCAGGACTGCAGGATAAACCAACTGAAGAGCACCTGATGGCACAGTGAAAGTGGTCCTGCACTAACAGATCACTTGACAAACCAGTCCTGGGACACCTTGATGTCTGGATCAAGATTTAGATCCAGAACTGTGGGAAATGGATTTCTGTTGAAGCTACCCTCCGCTCCATAGTACTTTTTTATGGCAGCTCTAGAATATGGTCACCCCTTGGTATCCACTGGGCTTGGTATCCACTTGGTATCCAGAGCCCCCTCCTGCTAAAATGACAAAATCCATGGGTGCTGAAGTCAAGACCCTTTTATGAAACATGGTATAAGTTGTGCACCGCTTCCACATACTTCAAATTCTCCTCAGATTGCTTACAATACAATCTAAATGCTATGTAAATAGTTATGCATTATTGCTGAGGGAAGAAAGACAAAATAGACTCTGGGTGGTTTTCATTTTTTTTTTTCAGTTATGTTTGGTCTGAGATTGGTTGAACCTGAGGCTGTGGATCCTGCAGATACGGCTGACTACATTAATATGGCACGTGCACACACACACGCACACACACACACACACACACACACACACACCTCAAGATGGGAAATTCTGTAAGAAAGCAAGAAATGGAAGGCAAGAGAGAGATTAAAGCATAGGTGGGGACAGGGCAAGATTGCTTTCCTGAAAGCCACAGTCTGCTGATTCGTGTGCCAGTCTGGGCTGTCTGACGGTGTTTCTTTTTTCTTTGGTGATGGGTGGTCAGACTCAGTGCTTTATGTGTGCATCTAAAGCCATCTTGACATTGCAGAAGGAGGGCTAAGAGTGGAGAATGGTGGGCGGGAAGGGCCATTTTCTGTTTTTCGACTTCTCAGCATTTTAGCTGAGCAGCTAATGTAATAACTTCCTTGCTGTTTTGTCATCCCTCTACCTGAATGTAGACTTGTACCTTTTTCCCTGGTAGTTTTTTTTTTTGTAGTTTTTTTTTTTTTTTTTTTTTTTTTTCTTCCAGTTTTTTAGGTCTATCCATATATAGGGGCAGCGATACCAGGGATAGTTAAGTTCCCCAGGGAAAGGGCCATGGGCCTCTTCTGTAGTAACTTTTTGCTTATTTTTCTGACTTTTTCCACCTAGCCCTGTGGGACTCTTGTAGGGTTTAGAAATTCTCCTTCTCTTTAGGCCTTGGATGCAGTGACCCCTCTTAGTCATACAGTTAGAGCATTTCCAACCTGCATCTTTGGTCTGTAATGGGGGGAACAGAGGAAGGGCCTCTTTTTCAGGGCGGCCTGACTCCAGGAGAGGGGGCAGGGGAGGCAGGAAGTGGTGTGCTCAGCTCCTGTTTTGGTCTTATTTGGCAGATTCTTCTAACCATAGGGGCCCCGCTCATGTCCCCACCCTTTCTGCTTCCTGTATTACTCAGCTAGGTCTTGCAAAAGCAGAAAGCTTTGCCAAAGACAATTCTTTAAAGTGCCTCCTGAAATTAATGTTTTTCCCAAAATTTCATATGAGAAGGAGCTGACAATTCAGCGATATGTAGTTACCATAGGGCTTTAGGACCAATGAAGGAGACCGGTAAACGCTTCTACTCTGGTCCTTGGAGTAACTGGTAAAGTGGCCACATTCCAAAGAGTGGCCTGCTCATTGTCAGCCCACAGGTCCTGAAAGCAGTTGGCCTTATTGCTACCTTCTCTGGTTCACATCTTTTAATTCCATGCATTTTTCTTTGCCTAAACTATCACTGCAGAATGCAACAGAACCCACCAAATTTGAAGATTATCTTGCTAGACTTTGGAAAGAAAGTAGGCCCAAGGCAGTATTCTTAAAATCCCCCAAGTCTCCTATCCTTTTTTGGATAGCTCTTTTCTCCCTGATTCATAGTATGGCTTTAATATATTTTGCCTCTTCCAGCTGTTTTTGCATTTTAGCTCCACCCCAGATTACTCTTCCATTCATGCTGCAATACAAAACAATTCATGATAGCCCCTTCTGTGGGGGCGTAGGGCCACCCAAGTCTGGAGCCTGTACAGAATCTCTTGTACACAGTCCTGACTTTCCAGACTCCCTAAGGCAGGCAGGAGAGTTTCAGCCAAGTTACTACAAATGGGGCGTGTAGTTTCCTGGTCTGAACCCAGTCTGCCCCTGCTGAAGCCCCATGTTAGCGTGTGGGAAGATGTACTTCTCACAAGCCTGCTGTTGACCTTCCATGCAGACACACTGGGAGCTTAGGGCTCAGGCACCGTTAGCCTGGTAGAAAAGGGCGTAAGGCAGAATCATACACACCTGGTGTTGGTCTGAGGCCTTCAACTTCTGCGTCTGCTCGGTTTTCCCCTACCTCTGAACTGTTCTCCAAAAACATCACCTGCTTACCACAGAAATAAATACTAGACTACAGCTTATCTCGCTACTCTAGCAGAGCTTCCTTAGGGTGTCTAGCCAATCCCCTGCCCTGCTGTCATCTCAAGATCTTGATTCTACTTGGCAGTCCCAAGAATACCCTGCTCTCATCTTTGTATTGTTCAGTTTTGAGCTTTCTCTAATGGCTGAGCTGTTTCTGCTTTGAAGGTTGGATCCAGCTCCAGGCACCCAGCTCTGGAAGTCCCAAGTGGAATCCCAGAGCCTTTGGCATCCAAAAGGCCTAGCTAGAGTCCACGTGGAGCTGGAGGCAGTGGAGGTTGTGGATTCTTGGGATTCTAGTAGCATTGCTGTGAGCTCCCCATGGGAAGCTGGAGAACTGAATCATGGGGCCACATGGAAAAAACAAAATGTGAACTGGGCCAGACATCAGAGACCCAGCCAGGCCACATTTATCCAGTTATTTTTCCCAAGCACCACCACTGGCGCTCTTTTTTACTGAAGTCAAGGCTTTCAGGCAGTGATGGAGAGCCCTGATTGTCTTGTTTTGGGAGAAACAAGAGCTTTCAGCTGAATGTCAGAGTATTTTTCTTAAAAACAGGAAGCTGGAGGCTCAGTAAGGGCTTGGGGAGCAGGAGGAAGTGAAGGGTCAGGATTGGGAGGGATGGGAAGAAGGATAGAAAAAAACCACAGCCAGAGAAACTGGGGACTGGACTGTGGCGAAGTTCTCCCTCAGAGTCTCTGCCTCACAGTAAATCTCCCCATCGCCAGCCACCAAGCTTGCTGTAATTCGAGCTTGGTTTATGGTTTATCTGGATTACAGATCTCTACTGCTCCAGCCCCACCCACAGCCAGGTCTTGGGGGTGGGAAGGGAATCTGATAAACACAGATGCGGTCATTCACTTATAATTCAGGTGAATGCCTGATACAGAAGGGCAGACTGCTAAATCAAGTAAGGCATAATTCCACGGCTCCTTCCGCCACATCTGTCTCTGTGTACAAGAGATTCTGTACTGGGAATTGAACCCTGGGCCTTTGCATTGAGCTGTATCACAGGCCCTTTTATTTTTTATTTTGTTGAGTTGCTTAGGCTGGGCTCAACTTGTGACCCTCCTGCCTCAGCTTCCCACACGCTGGGATTATAGGTGTGTGCCACCACACCTGGCTAGTGCTTCCCAGACTGGTAGTAGCATGTGTCTCATGGATTATTGAAATGTATCTTTTTATTGGGTCCATACAAAATAAAAAAAAATAAATCAAAGGGTCCATTCATTATTTAAGCTTTAGATAACACAGTTGAGCAGTGAGATTGGGTCCCCTAGCAGAGTCCTAGAGACCTGCCTGCGGCCCTTTCTTTGGTGGTGCCCATTTCTTCCACATCCGTGCTGGGCCAATCCTAGGCTGCAATCCTTCTGATCCCTTAACTCAAACACTCTTCTCCTTTCTGTGCTTCCCCATCCCACTGGATTTCTGGACTGCTGAACTTACTCATCCTTCATGACCTAACTGAAGTGTCCCCTTCCCCAGTCCAGCTCCGGGAAAGCAATGCTCTTTTCCCTGTGTCACATTGTATACCCCACACGTGTAGCCTTATTAAATGGTTTTGGAGGTGTTTGTTCATCCTGTCTCAGTCTTGTTGGCTGGACTGCAAGCTCCTTAAGAACAAAGACTCCACTTATTTTTCTTCCTGAAGTACAGGGCCCAGCAGCGAGGAGGAGCTTATCAAATGTCTGTTGAACAAATGAGTGCGCTGGTCTCCTTTTAGCTCAGTACCGGAAACCACCTGGCCCACATAGCTGCCTGCACCCTGCTCTGCTGGGGGAGGTGACTTCCCTAGCACACTGCTGGGGCTCTGGCTGCAGCCCCCTGAGCCTGGCACCAGCCTGGTGTGAGGGTGAAGGGCTTAGCTAGGGAGTCTTATTTAAATGCACACTTTTTTATTTTGTATTTTTGTGATGCTGAGAATCAAACTGAGGGCCCATACATGACAGACGAGAGCAACATCCCTGCCCCAGGAAGCCCTGTGTATCTCTTCAACCTTGGCTTTGTGCTGTGCCTGCCTTTACATCTCCATCTGAGGTCAAACTGACTTCCTGAGTGGGAGATGCCTCCTGGGGCCGTGTGGTCCTGCTCTGCCTCCCTGTCCCAGGTGCTCTAGGCTTTGCTGCCCTTGACTCCCCATAACTCCCACTACCTATGGGTTTCCAAGTGTACTCGGAGGACCCCTGCAGATCCCCCAACCCCTCCTGGGGACCTGCAGGGTCTTCCCCTTTCCAGCTGCATGGCTACATGAGCTTGAATTTTCTCCCTGTATTTCAACCAAGAGAAGATGTTGCAGAACACTGAATTTAGAACTGAGTATAGGAATTTAGCTGTCTTTCGTTCACTTAGACACGAGGAAGACTGGCAAAAGCGTAAGGCAGTGCCATGCCTCATTGTTTTCTATTTCTGAAAGTATAATTATTTTTCATAGAATATGTAATTAAGGTGTGTGCCACCACACCTGGTTAGTGCTTCCCAGACTGGTAGGAACATGAGATAGCTTATTATTTTAAAATTAATAAATATTTCTGCATTTCTGGTTCAATTTTTAACATGATAAGTGCTAATATGTTAAATATAAAAAGTTATTTTGAAAAAAAAAGTTATTTTGAATTATTTTTTTTTTTTTTGTGGAACCAGGGATTGAACTCAGGCCCTTGCGCTTACCAGGCAAGCACTTATTCTACTGAGCTATCTCCCCAGGCCCATTATTTTGAATTTTTATAGGATTTTTTTTTCCTGCCTAGTTCAGGCTGCCTTAAGGGCGGGGCTGGTGAAGCTTGTGGGGCTGGGGATCGAACCACAGTCCCCTGCGCCTGTCTGCATTTGTCCAAGCAGCACTTTAAACAACTGAGCTATCTGGCAAAGCCCCTCAAATTTTAATAATTAAATAGTATAAAGAAATCTTGAACTGGATATGGCAATGCACACACACCTGTAACCCTTGCATTTGAGAGGCTGGGGCAGGAGGATGGCTGTGAGTTTAAGGCCAGCCTAGACTACAGAGTGAGTTCAAGGCCAGTTTGAAATGCATAGTGAAACCTGGTCTCACAAAGACCAAAACAAACAAAGGAACAAACAAAAAAACAAACCACCAAAGAACCAAAAGAAGTCTTGAGATGAGAAAAACGGCTAGAGACTCATTACACTGGATTATTTATCATGCCTCTAGGTCTTTGCCTGGGCCTGTCTCCTTCCTAGGATCCTGTTTCTTTTTCTCCCTTTGCCTGGCAGATGCTTTTATAGCTGTATTTGCTTGTATCTCCCTTTCTGGGGCTATGCTTTCCTTCTTGTAAGTCTCCTATAAGTGTTTTTTAGGAAAACATTTATTTCTTATCACAGTTGTATTGTTTGGTTTCTCTTAGAAAACCATGTACTCTTTAAAAATCAGGATCCTTGCCAAGAATCTTTTTTTCTTGCATTAGCCCTGTGCTCAGTAGAAAGAACATAATATGAGTATTCCTACAATCAGTGGGCTAACCGTAGAGCTTGGCTTTAGTTCCTTGTCTGCTGCAACTTTGCTCTGTGACTTTGGATGAGTCACTTAGCCCTCCTGAGAGTTCTTCCTCGGGACCCTGGGAGAGGCTTGGGCTGTCCTCTCTCTAGGGTGTCTCCCACACTAACACTTAGTCTATGGATAGTGGACACAGGGGACTTCAGTGGGAAGGATGTGAATCCCATACAAAACCATTCACATGTACCATATTTAGTGGTGTAAATAAACTACTGGAAAAAAGAGCCGCACAGATTAAAAAATAGTCCTTATTACAACTTTTGCTTCTGAGATTCCTATGTGTAGCAGCAAAATGACCCGTGTATTTACTGTGACCTGTTAGACCTCAAGGTCTGGGCACAACACCCTCACCTCTAGCTTCTTTCCAGCCCTCTCTTCAGTGGTCAGACAGTGCTTTTCTTATTGGGTGGAATGAGAAGAAAAATAAGATGAGAACACCTAGAAGCCCAGGAGCTTTGTTCAAAGTTTCACTCCCTTACCTTCCAAGAGCTGTCTGAGGCCCGAATCAGAGTGGATAGTAGGTCTTGGAGAATCACCATTTTCTGCTTTAGGACCAGTTCCCTTTGTAAGGCCTCCTGTGGAGTGAAAAATATAAAAGGGTGAGGTTAACCTAGAGAAGATGGTAGGTGAATGGAGAAGTTGAGCGGAGAAGTCACTTACTTTGAGGTATTCAGAAAGCTGAATGATTTCCTAGAGAGGAGGGGAAAACGTGTATCAAAAAGACTGTAGGCCCTTGAAATCCTTTAACATAGAACCAAGGCCTGGGCTGGCCTGGGCTGGGCAGACGTGTTCTGACCAGGGTCTGATAGGGCCTCTGTGGGTCCAACGTCTCTGCATGGCACACTTTTGCCATCCAAGAAGTAAGGATTTTCTTACCTTATCCAGAACTGCAACTCCATAACTGGAAAAAGAAGATGGGGGAGAAAAAAAATGGACTAAGGAATCAAGCAATTCAGGAGGTAGAGGGAGTGGGTCAGTTGCTTCAGGGACCCTTCTTGGTTTGGAGGCAGGTTTCCTCTTTTTAAATTAAGGTAGATATGGATATTTGTTGTATTTGCTATCTTTATGTGCTGGGTAGAGGGACAGAAGTAAACATTTAGTAGGAGCTGAACATGGTGCATGCTTGTAATCCTAGCAGTCTGGGAGGCTGAGGCAGTAGGATTGCCAGTTTGAACTCAGTCTGAGCAACTAGCAACTTAGTGAGACCCTGTCTCAAAATTTAAAAGTGAAAGGACTGAGGATGAAGCTCTGTGTGAAGGTCCTGGACTTAGTCCCTGTACCCTCCCACCCCCAACATTTAGAACAGAGGAGTAGGTGAGATGTGAGAGGGCTAGGGTCAGGAGTGTGAGGAGCTCACTTGGTTTGCTGACTGGCATCATTCTTAATTGTTGGCTGTGCATCTTCTGCTTTTGTCTGAGTGCCTGAGAGATAGAGGAAAAGATGATTGAGAAGCCATCGGGAAGCAACAAGGGCATCAGGGAGGGACAGGGATTCCCCACTGCTGGTGAGCAGGACGTGAGGGCAGAGTTCTGTGCAAGCCTTGCTGTATGAGGGAGCTCTGCTCTTACCACAGTGGCGTTTGGGTGGCTTCGTGATGGGAGAGTCTCGTGGTGGAAGGGCTCCTGCTTGTGAGGAGTAGTGCTCAGCCAGATCCCTGTGGATGCTTGAGGGAGAATGATACTGGATTGGGAGGACCTTGCAACTGGTCCCTGACACCTGGAAAATAAGCGAGAGATGCTGGGAGCCACTGTCCACAGTATGTTAGGAGACACACCAGATGATTGCAGAAAGATGAAACAGTGATCATGTGTGCTGTGATCCTGGCCCTCTAAAATTCACTTGTTCTAGTTCTACCCCCTCCCAAAGTTCTAATGCCCAACATGATGGTGTTAGGAAGAGACTTTGGGAAACAGGTTATGTGTGATGTTGGAGACCTGTTGAAGTTGACGGTGCCCCTCTGAAAAGAGCTATGAGAAAGTTTTCTCCATGTCTGCTCTAAGCCTTGTGAAGGAGAAGGATGCCATTTGCACCTCCAAAAGAGTGTTCTCATGAGATACAGCATCTGCTGAGGCCTTGATGTTCTAGAATGTCCAGTCCCTAGAATTTTGAGAAGTTTTCCGTCATTCAATCTATCATTAATTTGTTTTAGCAGTCAAATGGACTAAGATAATATTGGCAGTCAAGCCACCTACAGTGACTCACACAGGCTTTCAAAGCCATCAGGTGATGCCTGCTGTTGCTCTTCCTTGCTCTATATAGTGGCATGGGGCTTCCTCTGGCCAGGCACATGGGCAGCAGGACTTGTCTGCAGTCGCTCTCGCTGCAGTCCTGTTGAGTCTCAGCCACACACACAGCCAGTGTGCTGATGCAAAGTAGCCCTGCCGTGCTGGGCAGTGGGCAGCCCAGCTTCAGACCCTGCTTCTCTGCATCCCAGCTTCTTGTCCATGTGGGACCTTCTACAGATGGCTTCCTTTTCAGGAGTAGCTTGGGATGGCGGAGGCGTTGTGAAGAGAAGGTAAAGCCGGGAGTCATAGGGTGTAGTGGTGGTAGCAGTTTAGTTGGGCCTTTTATATTTTCTTCTCACAAACTGAAAAAGTCCATGTTGGCAACAAGACTCTAAAAGGTTAAGAAATGTCCATGGTATTCAGATGTGAGCAGTGAATCTCAGTGACACTTTAAGCCACTCATAGATGGGGGATTCTTTAGTAATTGCATTTTCTGGTGGTTTTTGTTCAGATTGTTTTTCCTCCTAAAAAAGCATTCAGAATCCTCATTGCCACAGAAAGCAGACCTCTGTTGCCTTTGCAGTCAGGCTCCAGGCTCTTTCCTCAGACCAGCTGTCGCACGGCACAGGTCAGGTCCCCTGTGAGGAATCCCAGCAGAACCCCTCTCTGGGCACAGCACAGTGCCAGGCATTATCGGGAAATCCAGAGGACCATCCCTCCTGCCTGGCTCGCACTCACAGTGGTTTGCAGCTGAGGCCACCTCCACATACCCTGCTTTTTGCCAGCATGGCTCCTCTCGGGAACAGTCTACCAGGCCTTCTATGACAGGAATTGGGCTGCACAGCAGGAGGCAAGAGGTGAGCAGGTGGGGAAACATCCTCTGTGTGGATAGCTGTACACTGTTGCTCACTTTACTGCTTGAGCTCTTTTTTTTTTGTAGTGGTCATCTTTTATTGAACATTAATTTTCACTTATATAAACAAATTGAGCCATGATTAAGCTGTCCACAGACAGGAGCGGGACAAGGCAGTCACAGGTTAGACTGCTGGGTGTGCCCTCCACACTGGCCCCTTTTCAGTGGAGCTTGCATCGCCGTCCATGTTTGAGTTCCTTGTAAGCCTGCCTCCAGTCTGGTTGCAGTGGCACCAAATTCTCACAGGAGCAGGAGCCCTGCTGTGAACTGAGCATGTGTGGGATCTGGGTCGTGTGGCCCTCTGAGTCATCCTGGGATACCCCCGCCTCCATGCCAGTGCCAGAAATACTGTCTTCCTCGAAACCAGTCCCGAAGGCTGGGGGATTTATAACCTCTTTGACCCACACAGCAGAAGAGGCGGCCCGCAGAGCCCAGTGGAAGCTCCCTAACCCTGCTGGGGCCTCAGCAGAGTGAATTTACTAAACTGGGAGCATGCAAGAGAAGAGAGATGCCTGAGGGCAACTGCCTTAGGAGACAGAGGAGTGAGATGTGTGTACACACTTCAGCGTCTTGGGGAAAAGGATTGGCCTGTGTACAGGTTTGGCATATGATAAGCCATCAGTAAATATCTGATGAGTGATGGGCGAATGAAGGCTGTGAGGTACCTGTGGAAGATGTGTGTAGATTGCCAGAATCCAACTGATTCTAGGTATTAGCTATGGAATGAGTTTTGGAATTATTTTTTCTCTACTAAAAGGAAGTACAGTATAAAAAAAAGAGCTAAACAAATGAAGTCACTGCAACCACAACCCCTGAGTAAGGGGCTAATGGAGACTGTACTATATGGCTGGGGAAGAAAGGACTTTCCATGACTTGCCTGTTGGTGACCTTGAGCCCACTCACCCTCTTGGTTCTCCCCACCCCCACAGAACAGTGTGTCCCGGACATGACCCACCTGCTGTTCAGGGGAACTGATCCTCTTGGAACAAGACAAAGACTCCTTGAAGACAGCTGCCCGGCCTGCCCTCCTGGAGTGGCCTGGCTCCCTGGCTCGGAGACACTGGGCCTGGCCTCTCTCCTCTACCTCCAAGTTCCTCCTCCTGAAGAACTGCAGTTGTCGAGCTCTCCGCAGTTGCTCTCTCTGCTGGGTCCTCAGGGCTCTCCCCACCTGGCGGCAAGTGGTCACGTTGGGACGGCAGCGCCGGCTCTCCCGGGTCTCCTGCCGCCGCTCGCACTTGGCCTCGTAGCTCTCAGCCCACCGGGCCGCGCCAAGGGAGCGCCTGGGGTCTGGGCCGATCATGACGCCCTCCCGAGCACCTGTTGTGTTTGGCTTCCAGCTCCTTGAATAGCTGCCTGAATCTGCCAGATGCCAAGAGGGAGGAGTCAGAAGATGGGCAGAAAAATGACTATCTCCCTGGACAAATGGGGAGGGGTTAGGGGCGCAGACATAGCAGAGTGCTGCATCTATGTGGGTGGACAACTGAGGACACAGTGGTGTCACATTGGAGTCAGGACTCCTAGGCTCAGTCCCTAGTGAGCTAATAAAGTCTGATAAAAGCGAATGCCTGCTCTCTCATCTGTGTCCTTTCTTGCTGAGGTTGAAGTGTTTCTCTGGCTGACACTTCTTTGTCAGAAGAAACACCTTTCCATATCTACAAGTCTAGGGAGACGTGAGAAATAACTGATAGAAGTCACAGTGAGCTTATGTAGCCTCTTTGGCTTGTATTTGTTCATTTTCTAGATTTAATAAAGAAACAGGTGGACCCTCTGCCTGGCCCCTTCTTCAACCCACAAGGAAAATTGGCATCTTCACTGCCCTTTTGGCCCTACCTGTTACTACAACAGTTGGCTGACACTTCTCATTGTCCTTAGGAAGTGACTAGGCTTGTGACTGGCACTGCTTCCTTGATGGCCCTTAGCAACCTAGCCTGGCATGATTTAGGATGGAAACCCACCCAGAGTCCTTGGTCCTAATGGTGCTCCGTGGGCACCTACCACCTATCCAGGACTGGGCTTTGGTTCTCAGATATAGAGCAGGTCAAGTCAGTGTTGTCCAGTAATCTGCCACATGCCCGGTGCCGGTCGAAACCCATTTCAGAGCATCTTGGAGATGAATACACTTTTGGTTTTTTTGTATCATGTATCAGAACTAAGCCTGGTGCCAAGTCTGCTTTCTTTAGGCACATATTATGCCATCAAAACCAGTAAGCACATGGATTATATCCCAGTAAAGCTCTTACAAACAACAAAGAAACAAATAAGCAAAAGCAGTAAACACAAGTCCCCAGGGAGGGAGGCTTGACAGGGAGACCAGCCTTAATGTCCCTCTGTGTGGCCTTACCTGCTGTCCACATAGCGCCTAAGCCTTGACCCCTTCTTCCTAAATTCTCTGTGCTTTTCCCTCTTTCCTGCTCCTCCCCACCTACCTTCTGGAAATCTGGTAATTCTCCTGAATGCTCTGGTAGCTTTGATGAGTTGGAGTTGAACTTGGCTGAGCTGGATTCTGAGCATTGGAAGTTCTGTACACTGTCCACTGGAATCAGACCGGCACTGATGAAGGAAGATGTACTCCCCCTCACAGCTGCTGCCTCTGCTCTGACCCGTGACCTCATCATGCTGCTCTGGGATTTAGTTCCTGAGCAGGTCAGAGGAAGGTATCTTGGGGCTTCACTGGCCAGCAGGCATTTGCCAGCACTGGCCCCTCTGGTTTATTTATAGGTCAAACAGACTCCACAGGTAGTCACCTGTCTGCACCTTTATGTGGACCTTGCTGCCTACTCTGGTTCAATCTGGAGCTCTGTAGAGGACTCTTGCTTTCTCTGGTCATACCACTCCTTCTTAGGGGCCTTGGTGAGGCAGTCTCACTGTGTGGGAGAAGTCTGATGTGGCCAAACTCTGGGCACTGTCAGCTGCCTGGATTGGCAGGGTTGGAGGGGCAGTTCCGACTTGGTGAAGGACTGTGGGGTTGTCAGTGTCTGACCTGTATGTACCATCTCTGAATGGCTCTCTCCTCCTGGATTAGGGTCACCAGATTGCATCTTTGACTTTCCTTATTTAAAAACTTAAAAAAGGTTCTAAGGGACTTACTCTTGTCAAATTGTAAGTGCTCAAATAAATGAGATTTGAGATTAAATGAAGAGTACATGTGAACTCCAAGTCCAGAACTTATATTTGTGGCACTTCACAGGCTGCCACTCCTCACTCTGCCCCATAAATGGTGGAGGAGAGCCTGGGCTCTAGAGTAGGACTCCCTGGACTCGTCCTGGCCCCTTCACTGTCTACGTGTGTGTGTGTGTGCGCGCGCGCGTGTGTGTGTGTGTGTGTGTGTTAGACAAGTTATTATATAAGACTCGCCAAAGATTGCTGCCTCATTTATAAAGTGGGGCTAACACCTGCCTGGGAAGATTCTGAGAATCAATGACAAACTACCCACAGTGAAATTGGTACATGGCACAGTAACTGTGAGGTTTTTATAATAATAAGCTTTAAATATTATCCCTGTCCTGGTGTTGGATACTGAAGACTTTTTGGTGCTGTAAGTTAGAGGCCCCAAGCTAGACTAGCGCTTTCAGGAACAAGAATGTTAGATCTCTTCCTCTCATTCCCCAAGCCTCTGTTGTTGAACGATTACATTGTTTTTCAGGTGTAGGGGATGAGACAAAAATCACTTTCATGGCTTTTATTCCACTGAAAAGACTGCTGGTTTGGATACAATCACCATCTCAATTAGGCCAAGCAGAAAGTTCCAGAAGAGGGGAGAGAGGCCTACCCTTATCACATCATTAAAATGTGGTGCGAAGGGCCGGCCTGATAGCACAGTGCACTAAAGCGCCTGCTTAGGCAGAGTGCAGCTGCTGGGGTTCAATCCCTGGCACCTGCCCCCCGGGCCCGCTGAGACAGTAATTGAGACTAGTCGTGGTGGTGCGCATCTATAATCCCAGCACTTGGGAGGTTGAAAACAAGAGGATTACTATGAGTCAGATCTATGTAGTGAGACTCTGTGGATTCTGTAGACTCTGTCCTAAACTAAAAAAAAATGTGGTGTGAAGCCTTGCCCTGCATGGTCCCACACTAGCATTAGCCGCAGGCTTTGGAATGGAGGTGGATCTCCCATGGTGAGAATCACCCTCTCTTCTGACTGTGACAAAGGAAGGCCTGTGGGTAGAAGACAGGCTGCGAACTTGACCTAGGCTGTCTGTAAGTCCTTTGAGCATGGCTACTCTGCTCTCTGCGACTTCAGGTCCAGACACTGGGCCAGACACGGGTGTGTTTCTAGATCCCTAGGTCTGCTAGTGTTTGGGGTGACACAACCAAGTGAAACTGTACCCAGCCTTTTGAGAGGTCTTGGCCATTCTGATGTACTTTGAAATAAGAAGCTGTGTGTGATGCCTGCTGGACAGGGATATCCTGCAGGAGAAGAAGGAACTGGTTTTCATAGATTTGGGGAAAGCTCACTGGCCACAGGCTTTCTGGCATCTGTTAGTTAATTGGAGGCCAGGGGAACAGATGACACTGGCTAGGAGGGGCTCCCCTCACCGCCACAGGGGGAGACTAGGTGCTACTCTTCATCTGACTCTGGCTCTCCTCATCTCTGCTCCTACTTCCTGTCCATGTTTGTGATCCAGACAATGTATGGCTTCAGGTGTGGGTCTGACCCTCTCTTACAGGTCTCCGTGTGTACTGAAGAAGGGGACATGTCCTTGGCTGCCAGAAAGGCAACTTCATGTGACAGGAATAGGGAACTGTGAAAGGTCATTTAATTCTCAGCCCTGGATGGATGTGTTGGCTCTCACTTGGGAGGCTGAGGCAAGAGGTGGCCACTCTGGGCTACGTAGTGAGTTCAAGGCCAGCCAGAGCTACATAGAGAAAGCCTGTCTATAAAAAACAAAACAACAAGTAAAAAAATTGAGGCTGTCCTCACTAGGTAGCCTAAAGCCCAAGTCATATGGTACTTCAGGACTTCAATACAGGGACCTCTCTTGGTTACCCCACATTCTGGTACTCTTAAACTACCCCACCCGTGTAACTCCCTCTTCAGCCAGGGAAGATTGGCTGACTGAGCACCTTCTGCCCCACCCCGAGTTGGAGGCCCCGAAAATGGACACAGAAGCATCCTTGTCAGTTACCTCTGGGTCCTAGGCTGGTCAGGAGAGTGCCCCGGTCAGTCCCAGCTGCTCATGGCTCTGGTCTTGGCGGAGCAGTGCTGCAGCTGGGTAAAGTGCAAGTCCTCAGCCCGTGGCTCAGCCCCTTAACGTTCTCCTTCTCGGTGCGGCCCTTCTTTTGCACAGCAACCTTGCTGAAACAGGAAACAGAAGCCACATTGCTCACAAACCCCAGTTCCCCTGTCTCGCTCTCTGGCACAATCTGAGTGGGCCCCTGAGCCCTGGGGCCTCAGGCTGGGCCCAGAGCTCCTCCCATTCAGGGCACCCTAGCCACCCTCACCCCTGCTGCTAGATTGGCCTGAAAGCTTGGGAAGCTTCAAGTTCAGATCCATTTCCAGGATCAGACAAGGATCTACTTCTAGGTTAGATCAGAACCTTGCTGTTTCCTTGAGGGGGAAAAAATGCCTTTTTGGTGATAATACCTGGAAGAAATGTTCTCAGTGTAGGTTTTCATGTGTCTCAGGCAGCTTTCTGTTTAAAGATTTTTTTCTTTTCCTTTTGTTACTTCTTCCCAGTCCTGGCAGTAGAAAGAGATTCTGCTCTCCTGAAATACCTGGATTCTTTCTCAGAGTTCTAGACAGAGGTTCACTCTGAGTTTGCTCCACTTAGAGCAATGAGGAGGGAGTCAAAAAGTAGAGAGCTGGACGTGAAGGCAGGGATGGCAGGCAGAACCCTGGAAAAATATGGCCCCAGTCAAAAGGACATGGGAAAAAATGAAAGGGGACTAATCTGAATAATCTATTTAGGAAATTCAGGATAAAATAGGGGAAAGGGAACTGGACTGGGATACATTCACTGAGATCTGTAACCAGTAATTCACCTTGTTGAAGTGAGCCAGTCACTGTGGTAATTGGATAGGTTATGTGGCCCCTATTCATTCTGAAATTTGACAGCTATGAGATGGTTAATGAGACTTTAAAGTAGCTGTGGTAAGATTTGTTAATGTGGGGGGAGTCACAGACCTTGTCACTGCTGTGACTTCCTCTGTTCTCTGAGGAGAAAGTGGCAGGAAAGTGAAGAGGATGGGCTGTCCAGCGTGGAGCTCAAGGCAGAATTTGCTCAGTGGAAGAGACCCAGCATAGGGCTGTGGGTGGGAATGAGCTGAGGAGCAGGGCTTCAGAGCACTGGTGGCCAGGCAAGGCAATTTTTTTGTTGTTGTTGTTGTTGTTTTAAAAATAATTTTATTGAGAAACAAATAGCAATGAGACAGTTTCAAATCTGATTACTAGCACAGTTTCAATACTTAATACATTGCATATTGTTGTCTTAGTGGTTATTCATTGTACAAGATGCAGACATGATATCCTGTCCACAAACACTATTAGAACAAATCTATTCACTGAATTAAGAGAATGCAACTGTATATCTATCCTATTTTGAATATAAAGGCAATTGTTAAGACAGTCATATGGTACAGAAGGGTGGGAGAGTCCTGGGAGCTTGGGGGTGCTAGAGGACCAGGACAGGAAGCTGTGCTAGGAAGTTGTATACATTGCATTTGGATGCCACTGAAAATCAGGAAAAAGCTAGGTGTGGTGGTACATGACTGTAATCCCAGAATTTGGGGTGGCAGAGGCAGGAAGATCACAAGCCTGAGCCCAGTGTGCGAAATTCAGCAATTTCATAAGACCCTGTCTCAAAAAGAAAAAAGATGGATGGGCTAGGAGTATAGCTCTGTATAAAATCCTTGGGTTCAATCCCCAATGCTAAAGTAAACAAACAAACAAAAAGAAATGTATACAATGGTCAAAATCATTCCAGAGCTAGGGCTTATCTTTTCTGGCCTTGGAGGTGTCAGTAATGTGCCCAAGTTCATTCAGCAAGTTCTGGATCCAGGGTTGCCTAACATTGGAGCCTCAACTCTTTAACACTGTCCTGAGGTCAACAATGATGTTGTCAGATCTATTTATCTACCTGTATTGAGAGAGAGAAAGACTTATACATACAACATACACAGGGGCCGGGGAGATGGCTCAGTAGAATAAGTGCTTCCCTGGCAAGTGCAAGGGTCTGAGTTCAATCCTTGGTTCTGCCAAAAACAAACAAACAAACAAACAAACAACAACAACAAAAAAAACCCCATACACAACCCAGAGACTAGAGAATGTCTCTGATTTTCAAATGCCATGAAGGATTAAATGAAAGTATAACTCAGTGGTAGAATATTGGCCTATAGGTTTCACCGCAGTGGAAAATGCCACTTCACCTGGGCTGAGAATATATTGTGAGTTCCTGATACCAATCCCCAGTAGTTGGGGAGAAAGAAGAAAAAAGTGAGTGGAGGGAAATTAACTATATTGGTCAAAAAGCAAGCCTCAGTAATAGAATTCTCTGAACATAGTATAATAAAATTAGAAGTAATAAAATGGGAAGAAGTAAATCCTTTAACCTCTTTGGCAAATTTTTTTCCTCAGTGTACTCTTAAAATATATAGAGTCTGCCTCCAAAATATATACATCAGGAAAAGAAAAGCTTGTATAAATATTTTAAACT